AATAAATAAATAAAATCTTAAAAAAAATAGCTTGTTTATCTGCATCATAATCCCTCAGCGAGCACAGTAAGGGCATATGCAGAGGAACAGAGACTCCACATGGAAGCATGAGACCGGATTCTACAAACTGTGACTCGCATGTGGAGGAGAGGAGTGTGGAATGACTCAGGGATTTCTACCTCGGAATGCAAGTGGAGGTGGTCTTTTCCGCACTCTAGGGAGTACAGGAGGAAGAGGGGGGAAGGACCACGGGTTCGGTCCTGATGCATTAAGTGAGAGGTAGCTGTGGGACATCCGGTTGGAGATGCGGGACACACAGGTGGCTGTGTGCTCTGGAAAGGAGTACATGACCAGCTATGGATTTGGGAGTAGGGAGCACACGGGTTACAGTTATGGAGAAAAAATGCAGTTACCCAGGGGGAGCACGCAAGGGTGAGGCAAGAAAGGGCAGAAACAGAACCCTGAAGAACAAAACACTGAAGGATCAAGCTGACGAGGGAGGGAAGAATAATTAGAAAGCACTGGAAGGGGGACAAAGAAGAGCTCCACATCCCTGTCTCTTCACTGACCATGGCACAGGTTTCATAGGTCCGTCTCCCTCAGGAAACTGGGCGTTCTTCCAGGGTGGGCAGTGTCGTACTGTGCTGTTCCGATCTTTTTTTTTTTAAAGACTTTATTTATTTATTCATGAGAGACACACAAGGAGAGACAGAGACACAGGCAGAGGGAGAAGCAGGAGCCCGTGTTGGGACTTGATCCCAGGACCCCGGGGTCACGCCCTGAGCCAAAGGCAGACGCTCCACTGCTGAGCCACCCAGGTACCCCTGTTCTGATCTTTACTATCCTCCTTCCTAGCCCAGGACCAGTAAGTCCTCAAAAACTCCTTCTGAACTCAGTACTTTTTCTCTGAACTTCCTTGTTAACTAATTGTGTGATCTACTTCCCAGGCGCAAGGGAATGTCAGTAAAAGTTTTCAGAGTCAATTGTTAGCTTTAGACCTACAGGAGCTTCTGTGACTCTCCATGGTTTAGGTCTCCAGTGCTGGCTCAGGCCTGCTCACCTCCCACACACATGCAGCATAACTCTTCAGATATACATATTCTTTTTTTAGCTATGTTAACATTTTTGTGAATACTTTTTTAAGATATTATTTATTTATTGAGAGACCCAGAGAGAAAGAGGCAGAGACACAGGCAGAGGGAGGAGGCTCCACGCAGGGAGCCCAATGTGGGACTCGATCCCGGGTCTCCAGGATCACACCCTGGGCCAAAGGCAGGTGCTAAACTGCTGAGCCACCTGGACTGCCCTTTTGTGAATATTTTAATCAAATCTTGTCTCTCAAAGGCATTGGTCTCCTTAAGGCACTGAGTGTGTGTGTTTTAAGCTTTAACTCTCAACTGATTGTTAATTTTAAAGTTTAATTCTCAAAGGACAATTCCCTTGTTTCTAATGTATTGATTTATTCAGTCAACAAATATTTTTATGGTGCACCTGCTATATGCCAAGCACTCAGTACTTGCTGAGAATACCTAGTGTAAGTAAAACAGGCAAAACTTCTCCCCTTGAGAAGCTGATCTCTATTGCAGGAACTTTCAAACTCTCGGGGTCACCTCACTTTTGTCTGCAGATACTGATAATCTCCAAGTCCGAAATGCTATTTTTAAGCCATTTAACAAAACATTAAACAGAAAAATAGTGATTCAACAGCCCATAAGGAAAACACAGAGCATCTTTTGTCAGATACACTATAATCACCGCTTTCCAGCAGTGGGCTTCAATGCTGAACTCCAAAGTTGAAATCAAAAAGAAACCCACTATACATAAATCAGTGGGTGTCTAGGGGTCTGTGAGAGATGGGAGGAAACTGCCAACTGGTAAACAGGAATGAGGAGAAAAGGATAGCTGCCTTATTTTGGTTTTTCAGGAATAATCCATCTAATCTTTAAGCTAATGACAACAGCAAACAATTAAGAATGTGTTTTATCAGAGAAAAAGTAAGAGCGCCGATAAAAACTGAACAAACTCATAAGTAGGTAAATACCGACTCAGGCTGCCAACAACAGATTTTTCCTGCTATTATTTGGTTGTTGCTTTTTCAGGTGGCTTTTTTCCTCCCTTATAAAAAAAAAGTTATACATGTACATTGAAAAAAAGATCTGGAAAACACAAAAACTGTACAGAGACTACTCAAAAAACTGAGTAAACATTTAATTACGTATCTTGTTTCAGACTTTCTTTTTTTTAATATTTTATTTATTTATTCATGAGAGACACAGAGAGAGAGAGAGACAGAGGGAGAAGCAGGCTCCACTCAAGGAGCCCGACGCGGGACTCGATCCCGGGTCTCCAAATTCACATCCTGGACTGAAGGCGGCGCTAAACCACCAAGCCACGGGGGCTGCCCTGTTTCAGACTTTCTATCATAAAAGGATTTTTCTCTTTCGACAAAATTAGCATCATCGTGAATACGCAGTTGTATATCTTGCTTTTATCACTGGACATTAGGAGTATTTCCCATGTGCTTATTTTTCTAAACTGAATTTTGACGTTGGATAATATTCCACATGTGGACATGTCATAATCTCACCTTGCTCCTATTGTTGGGCAGGTTGTAGCAATGTTTTGGAATGTGGAATAAATGAATGTTGATGAATGTTCTCATTTACAACCATCTAAATATATCCTTGAGATAAATTCCTAAAGGGGGAATTACCAGGTCAAAAGATACTAACCTCTTAAAAAAAAAAAAAAAAAAAGATACTAACCTCTAAAGGATCTTGATATTTATGCCAAAAGTTCTCTGTTCAAACTTCCCAGCACAGTATGAGGGCAACCATACCACCCCTAGGCAGCACTAAGTATATATTTATTTTGATCTTCGTCAATATGATAAGCTAAAAAAAGATACATCATTTTAATCTGTGGTTATCTGGGGGCACCTGGCTGGCTCAGTCAGTGGAGCATGCAACTCTTGATCTTGGGGTTTGAGCCCCACACTGGACACAGAGGTTCCTCAATTAAAAAAAATTGAATCTGCAGTTCTTTGGTGAGTAATGACAATGTACGTTTTTAAATGCTTATAAATCATCTTAATTTCTTATTTATGGTACTCTCTGTATAGATCTTATTTTCTTTCTGTGTATGTCATTTATTCATTTTTTTCTATTAAGATAAATGTTTTTTAAGAAGTTGATGTGGAGAAGTTCTGATAAATTGAAATATGTAACATATCTGTCATGCACTACCTTCATGTTCTCTGAGTCTGAACACATGGTAAATGCTCCAAAGTTCCCTAAAAAAAAGAGACTGGTACAATCTAATCCCCACCCGAATCACTCCTAACAATACCACTTTTGCACCTCTATACCCAATCTGCTCACTGTTGTTTTGAAGCACCCAGCTGAGGTGATACTCAAGACTAGCCCCGTAAGCCCACAGTACTCTGCTTAACCAAGTGCTAGACTCCAAATACAGAAACACTCAGAAACCCTTCTCCCTCCTCCATACGCAGAATTCCTCAAATAACAAGCTGCTCATTGTGATTCGGCGTACAAAACCATCTTACTATATGTTGGCAAATCAAACTTCAATAAAAACAAACAAAAAAAACGTCTTTGATCCTCCAAAAGATTACCTGTGGCAGAAGGCAGAGTATCAGAAGAAAAAGAGCAGAGGCTCTTGAGTGAACAGACCTGGGTTTAGACTCCTGACCCTGTCGTGTTCTTGCTGTGTGATCCTCGTCATGTCGACCTTGCCTTTCCGGGCCTCAATTTCTTTATGTATAAAATGAAACTAAAACTATCTGTTTTAGGATTATCATGGGGATTAAGCAAGATAAGATATGTAATGTTTGTAACCAAGGGCCTGGTATTTGGTAGGCACTCTTTAAAAAAATGCAGTTTTCCTACTCTGATGCTGCTAAATCAGTTACTTATTTAACTCAAATGATCTTACATAAAATGTTGGCCGGAAATAGTTAGCTGTCCCAGCAAAGCATCATCTGGGTACAAAAACATTTAGGTCAGCTTTCTGTCAACTCCAATTTCCACTGCTATAATTATGCAATCATCAGCCACTATGGCAAGACAACGAAAACCCCAAAGCTGACACAACTGCAATTGCTAAATACAGTAATTACTTGAGTCTCTAGATCATGACCATTGATCCCTTTAGGAAAGCAGCAGAAATCTTTGGAATTATAGGAGGAAAAAGCTGATGAGTTGTCACAAGCAGTGGACTCTACGACACAAGGCTTTTGTCACTGCCCAAACTGGCAGCACACTGAGAAGTCTTTCTGAAACTGCAGTTCTCTCACATTCCATATTCCAAAAAGAACAATGTCAACCAAAGAACTGCAAGAAAAAAAAATTACGGGAACAAATAAGATTCTTGGAAATTCAACCTTCTTCACACTCTTCCTGGCAAGAGGTTCTAGCCTGGTGAAGTAATAACCTCTAGGAGAAAAGCATACTTTATGAAATCTATCAGCATAACCCCTTTCTATAGAAAAAGCAAGGAACACATCCTTCCTATAAGTGAAGCTTCCTTTAGGAAAGGAAAGGGGGAAAAAAAAGGGAAAGGAAAAGAAGTATCATTTACTAAGCATCCATGTTCACAGTGCTGTATTACATGCTTTAATTACAGTGTTTCTCATATGGAGCTACAAGGTAAGTCTTAGCCTTCTTTACAGACAATAGGTAACTTGCTCAAGGTTTCATAGTTGTTGTGTAGAAAAATCTAGGGCCAGGACCCAGGTCTTTCCAACTTTCAAATGTCTTTCTTTTCATTACATCTTCACCGAATCTTAACATGATCATGCCGATTCCCCTTTATTTTAATTGTGTTTCCAAAACAAATAAACACAACAAACTAAGATTCCACCAAAAGGATGACCCTTTCTGGCAAGTAGTAGGTTACTTTTCTGCCTCCTACTAGTCTTTACTATGAACTGAAAGACTCAGAGTGTCCTTTATGTCTTAAATCTATAAAGAAAACGGTACCTGTTGACAACCATAGAGCGCTGAAGCAGAAGCAAGTATAAAATAGGTACAGGCTTCTCAACCATTTCACGGATATCTGCCAACAAAATCCCAATAAAATCCAGGAAGCAGGGCTTGGCTTGACTCCCAGCCTCTTCTCCATGGCCTTCCAGAAAGGCGGAACCAGTTCACTACAAAGACAGAAAGAGAAGAAATGATATGCCAAGTAATTAACAATTGATTCCTCGAAATGCAGAGAGCTGGAGAATGTGACAGATTAGGGGGAAGAGAAATTTCAAGTTTGTCTCTCACTGCTCATACCTGCCCGTAAATTTTAAACCTGAGCCTTGATGAAGCCTATAATTATCAGGATAAAAACAGAGTAAGGGATATGAAATAAATCCATCGTGAAACTGAAACATTTTACGTCCTATTATTTTCTAAGCTAACAACAGTAAGACACCTGTGTGGATGCATGGAAGGAGCACCAGCCCGAAGATAAGGTCTGAGTTTCAGCCCCGAGGCTGCTACTAACAGCTTTGTGACTTTGACCAAACACACCTTTTTTACCTGTGAAGAGTGTGGACTATCAGAGGTATGGGTGACCCAGGAGTTTTATCTAGCTGTGCTTGAAAAATATTTTCATGACTGTCTTTAGGGAACACACGCACTCTCCAGTTTACTGCCGCCCCACTGCTATGATCTTTAAAAATCTATCCTAGTTACACTTCGGTCACTTACCTGATCCCTAGAATCATTTGCAACTCCTGACTTGAATTCATAGGTACACTCAACAAATATTTGCGCGGCCCTTATCACATGCTCGACATTGTGCTGGCTACTCCGGAATCTAGGAGGTGGATAATTAGGTCCCTTCCAGGGAAAAAATGATTGTCATCTGTTTCGTCTCTCTCTCTTTTTTTAACGTATTTATTCATGAGACACGGGGGGGGGGGGGCAGAGACAGGCAGAGGGAGAAGCAGGCTACACGGAGGGAGCCTTGACATGGGACTCGATCCCAGGACTTCAGGATCACGCCCTGGGCCAAAGGCGGCGCTAAACTGCTGAGCCACCCGGGCTGCCCTGTTTCGTCTGTCTTATACAACTTCCCTACGTGGTACAAATTATTATATAAATCTTGGCAATATCATGAGAGTTGGTTGAGTTCTGAAGAAGCAATTCAAATTCTTCTGTCCTGCGTACCTGTCACCCACATGTGGCAAATGACCCCAACCCCCAACCAAAGCCAATATACGGGGAGACTGGCATCACATGGGCCGGATATCAATATTGACTAATACCAGGAAATAGACACGTGCACACACACATAGTTGCAAAACTGAGGTACAGCCCACCCAAGAAAAGGCTTTGACCGAGCCTCAAGCGTTGAAGGACTTCTTTGTCATTCATTTCCATCCATTCTGATTTCTAGTACTTTTGAGGTTGTATGTTAGGGAGCAGGAAGCTGAAAGATGTGTGGGCCAGGGACATGCTCAAGGGATTATGAAATGGAGCCTAAGTTAGAAAGTATATCCAGCAACTTCTCTAGCCTCCCAAGATGGAACAGTGAGTGTGCGTGTGTGTGTGTGTGTGTGGTGTGTGTGTACGGATCTTACCCAACACATTTCTGCCTACCACAAAAGGATTTTAAACTCAAAGTGACTCAACACCTGTCATCAATAGCCTGACAGGTGGGCGACAGAAGCATAAAAGAAATGAATAGGTTTTTGAAGATGGGAGTTAATAAACACCACTGAATTAGCAAGCTGATTAGAAGTGCAAGGTCTTACGAGCCGAGCTGTGCTTCAGAGAGAGGCGGAGAGAGCTCTTTTCATGTGAATTCCCAACCAGCCGCGCCTCTTAAATAAATCTACAATTGCCTACATGCACAAATCACTGCTAGGGTCGTCAAAGCCTTGCTGACCGGAGGCTGGAACAACAGAGTGGACAAGATCCAAATGGTTTGTTATAGAATCAAAGGATAGAAACACGGGGGGGGGGGGGGGAATACACCCCCCCCACCCCCACAATACTTGACAATCGAAAAATCTAGAAAAGCTTGCAATGGTTCTGGCATTTAGGGCGTTACAAGCACACCCGAAATAAAAGCACTCTCTGGTTGCAACAGCTGTTCCGGCGGAGCAGGGGGGTAATGTTTACTTAATGCTTCAGGTTGATGGAGGGGAGGGGGGGAATGTATCATAGTTCAGTCTGTCAGCTACATACGTGGAACTCCACTTATGTACACAGCGATAAGATATGTTTGAGCAACGACAAAGTCTGAAACAGCCTATTCAGCTGGTATGAGTAATCGAGCATAAAGCTCTTTTTAAAAAAACACACACACACACACACAAAGTCTCAAGATAGTTGGGAAAGTTACAGAGCAGACTGCCATGAATAACTTTGCTTATATTTGCAGACACTGTTTTCCAAATAGCTGGGAAAGTGAACAGACTGTTCTGGGAGGTCGTCTTTCCGATTTGCTCCTAGCTCCCCGGCCTGTTCATCACGGAGGCGAAGCGCAAGGACACTCAGCTCATGCTGCTCACTGGCTGCACTGGGGAGGTGGGCTGGGGCGCCAGCAGCAGGAGGCGACGGGACCAAGCGCCTGCCCGAGGTCGCCCGAGGTCTCCCCCGAGGTCGCCCGAGGTCTCCGGCCCCGCACGCCCCCTTCGTGCTCGCGTCCGCGGGGCCTCCTCACCCGAGGCCCGCAGCCCGCAGGTGCAGCACCGCAGCCCGGGGCGTGCGCGGCCCCGCCCCCCTGATTCCGCAACAACTTTGTATCCTGTAGGGAATACGGAACGCGGGGGCCTGCAGCTCGGGGCGCGGCTGCAGAGGTCGGGGTGGGCAGCATCCTCCGAGCCCGGGCCCTGTCTAGGGATGATGATGCTGCACGAACAGGCCCCGGGCCCTCCGGCCGGGACCCGAGCTCCGCACCTGCAAGGAGCCAGGAGCGGCGGGCTGCCCCGCGCCGGGCCGGGGGCCCCACCTCCGGGCCCCCAGAGCGCCCGGCCAGCGCATCCTCCGGAGCAGCCCGTCCCGCCCGCCCCCGCCCCCCGCCCCCCGCGCTCGGGGGTCCCCGGCCCGGCCGCCAGCCGCCCCCGGCCACCTACCGGGGCTCAGGGCCGCACAGCGCGGCCCCGGCTCTCGGCGGCCTCCGCCTCCTCCCGGTCCATGGGGTCGGGGCCCCAGCCTGCGCTCCCCTCACCCCGAGGAGGAGGAGGAGGTGGAGGAGGAGAAGGAGGAGGAAGAAGGCAGCGCGCGCTCCCCACCCGGACAGCTCCCGGTCGCTCTGCCTCCCAGGACGCCGACCGCGGCCGGAAGCACCGCCTCCTCCTCCTCCCGCCTCCCCGGGCTCGACCCGGAAACACACTCTCCACGCGCCCCGCCCCCACCCCCCGCCCGGAAGTCAGCGCCAGCCGCGCGCTCGCGGGGGAGGAGGGGCTGCGCTGGGGAACACAACTACGCACGAGCGAAGGAACCTGGACCCCCAGGCTGTCGCTTCCCGCTCTCCACGGGCAGTCCGCGCAGCGCTGCCCGCCCCGCGCCGACCCCGCACCGGCCCCGCGCCCCAGGCTCGGGCAATACCCACAAGCAAGATGGCGGCGGCGGCGGCACGCCCGACGGCTCAGCGCCGAGGCCTGCGATTGGCCGGCGCCGCAAGTGAGGCGGCCGCGGATTGGTCGGGAGCGCCGCGGGGGTGGGGGTGGAGCCGCAGCCGCCTGGAGCCGGGAGTGGGCAAAGCGGCGTGAGCAGCGGCCCCAGGCTCCCGGAGCAGCGCGCTCGGAGGCGGTTTGGGCGCTCGGGGCCGCAGCCTGGTGAGCTCAGCCCCCCTCAGGCCCTCCCCTGCACCCCGGCCGGGGCCTCGCCGACCGGTGCCGACCGATGCCGCCGCAGCCCGGGGACCCTATCGCCACTCCATCGCGCCATATCGCGACATCATCGTGCCCTGTCGAGACTCCATCTTGTCACGGCCCTTTTCAACATCTACCTTTCTTTCTCTCTTTCTTTCTTTCTCTCTCTATATATTATTATTTTTTAATTTTTTTTAAATCCGCCCTGTCATCTCTGGGGGCTGTCCATGTCGTGATTTTGCCGTGATCTCTGCGTGACATCACCGCGCCATCGTGAAGTGTGATCTCATCGCCGCCCTGTCGTGACCTCATCAATGTCGTGTTGTGACCTGGCTGCGGCGGGACAGGTGGTGACCGCCAGGGACCCTCCCCTTCTCATCTCCCCATCTCAGCCGCCGCGCTCCGATTATCCGGCTTGTGGATGCTCCGTCGTCCTGGGAAGCACCCGGGACCCCCGCTTGCTTCTCCAGCCCCAGCCGGCTTCCACGGGCTGGGGGCGGGGCGGGGAGGGCGAGGAGAGGGAGCGCTAAGGGTTAATTCTGCTGCTGCTCCTGCTCCTGCTCCTGCTGCTGCTGCTCCTGGTGCTGCTGCTGCTGGTGCTGCTGCTGCTGTTGTTGCTGCTGCTGCTGTTGTTGCTGCTGCTGCTGCAGCTTCTGCCCGAGGGAGGGAAAGGAGAGGAGGCAAGGAGCCTGCGGGGGCGACTCGGAGCCCTGGCTGGAGGGGTGGGGTCCCCAGGCGGGCCTGCGAGCCGTCCCTGGTCGGCCCCCTGCACCCTCACTCCTGCAGAAGCCTGCCTCCTGCCTGTTTTAGGGAAGGGAGAGGAAGGGAAACCTAGGATGCCCTTTTTCCCTCGTGTCAGCCTGAGTCCGGATAATCGAACTTCACCCGTGTGTGTCTCCATTCCTTCCTCTGTGTGTCCTCACCACTCCCTCCGGGAGTGCCTGGGTGGAGGGAGATGAAAGCCGGCCTCTGGTGCCCAGGGGCAGCAGAGCAGGGAGGCCAGCAGCTCCCTCCCACTGCTGTGCAGCTGAGCAGCGGGATGTATGGTCCTTCCTTCCCGCTTTCTGGAGGTGACCTTGGACCAGGGTCCCTTCTTCGTCCCTAAGGACTTGAGGGTCCAGTGCCTTTAAGGGGCTGCCACAAGGGAGGTCAGTCTTGAGGAACCCATCCCTCCTGATCCCTCCCTCTGTGCTAATCCCTCCCTCCATCCTCCACTCCCACCCCCACCCCTCCTCTGCAGAGGGATGCTCAGTCCCTCTTGTGTTCACAGTTGGGCAAGGCGGGCATCATGGCCTCGGATTGCGAGCCAGCTCTGAACCAGGCAGAGAGCCGAAACCCCACCCTGGAGCGCTACCTGGGAGCCCTCCGTGAGGCCAAGAATGACAGCGAGCAGTTTGCAGCCCTGCTGCTAGTAAGGAACTGACTGAAGATTGGGATGTGGGAAGGGCTGGGTGGTTGGGCCCCCTAGGAATGGGGTCAGAAAGTCCCCAAGGATACATAGCTGGTGCTGGCATTCCTGGAAGCACCCAAGAAGGCCCCAGATGCCTACATTTGGCATCTTCTTTGCTCCCCCTGAGTATGGGGGCAAAGGGGAGAATGGGAGTGAATAAGGCTTGGGGCTCTAGGAGCCTCAGAGGAGGCTGCCTGTGTCTGCTCTCTGGGGCGTCCCGGAGCAGATGGGAGCTGACTCATAGGGTGACAGCAGCAGGTAGTAACTAGTGCAGAGTACTTGAGGGCTGGGGATGATTGCTCTGGGGGTGGAGAGAGTAGCAGAACTAGAAGTAGCTGGGAAGGGGTCCCAGGGGATGGCCGGGATGGCGGTAGCTAGGCTGGGGGTGAGGGAGCTGTGTGGGGCTCAGCCCTGTTGCAGGAGCCGGGCTGGGGCCAGCAGAACAGGAGCTGCAGTGCTGGGAAGGGGGGGTTGGTGTGTGGGGGGTGAAGGGAGGAGGGAGTACAGTCGCTGCTTGTTTGCCATGGCAACAGGGAGAAGGCTCCAGAGTCAAGGGCTCACACTGCAGCAGAGGAGGTGTTGAGGTGAAATGTAAGGGGAAATGTTTTGACAGGCAGAGTGGCGAGACACAGGAGCCATTTCCCCTGAGAAGGTGGCAGGAATGGATCGGAGGCTGCTTTGGGGGGAGCAGCTAAGGGAGAGACCCTAAATCCCCGGGGGATTTTAAACTGAGCTGTAAGCCCAAGTCGGGTTGTCGGCATCCAGATTAGACATCGGCAAGAACTTCGCAAATGACCAGGTGATGGAATGGCAGGAGCTGGGGATTGGACCTCCCCTCTGTGGAAATAATCACAGCTGAGGGATCCCGGAGGTCACAACTGTCCCGTCTCCCACGGGAGGAAGGAGCAGGATGAAATGACCTCTGGGGGGCCTTCTGACCCCAGAGCGAGTCCCCTTCGGTAACCTCATCTTGCTGATGGTCAGCTCCCCGGGGGGCAGGGGCCAGTCTTCCTTTCGTCCTGCTGATAGCACATCCTCCCCCCCCCCCAGGTGACCAAGGCAGTCAAAGCAGGGGATATCGATGCCAAAACTCGGCGGCGGATCTTTGATGCCGTAGGCTTCACCTTCCCCAATCGTCTCCTGACCACCAAGGAGGCCCCCGATGGCTGCCCTGACCACGTTCTCCGAGCCCTGGGTGTGGCCCTCCTGGCCTGCTTCTGCAGTGACCCTGAACTGGCCGGCCACCCCCAGGTCCTGAACAAGATCCCCATCCTCAGCACCTTCCTCACTGCCCGGGGGGACCCGGATGACGCTGCTCGCCGTTCCATGATCGACGATACCTACCAGTGCCTGACAGCTGTGGCAGGCACCCCCCGGGGGCCCCGGCACCTCATTGCTGGCGGCACCGTGTCCGCCCTGTGTCAAGCATACCTGGGGCATGGCTACGGCTTCGACCAGGCCCTGGCGCTCCTCGTGGGGCTGCTGGCTGCCGCCGAGACCCAGTGCTGGAAGGAGGCGGAGCCTGACCTCCTGGCCGTGTTGCGGGGCCTCAGTGAAGATTTCCAGAAAGCCGAGGACGCCAGCAAGTTTGAGCTGTGCCAGCTGCTGCCCCTCTTTCTGCCCCCAACAACCGTGCCCTCCGAATGCCTCCGGGATCTGCAGGCCGGGCTGGCACGCATCCTAGGCAGCAAGCTGAGCTCCTGGCAGCGCAATCCCGCGCTGAAGCTGGCAGCCCGCCTGGCGCACGCCTGCGGCTCCGACTGGATCCCAGCGGGCAGCTCCGGGAGCAAGTTCCTGGCCCTGCTGGTGAATCTGGCGTGTGTGGAGGTACGGCTGGCCCTGGAGGAGACAGGCACCGAAGTGAAAGAGGATGTGGTGACCGCCTGCTATGCCCTCATGGAGCTGGGGATCCAGGAGTGCACCCGCTGCGAGCAGTCGCTGCTCAAGGAACCCCAGAAGGTGCAGCTCGTGAGCATCATGAAGGAGGCCATCGGGGCTGTCATCCACCACCTGCAGCAGGTGAGGGCATAGTGGCCACACAGGGAGCCTGGGGGTGGGGGCCAGGGGTGGGGTGGGTGGAGGGCCAGGCAGAGGGATGCGGTGTGACAGGGACAGGCCCAGATGCCCACTTGGCCGATCCTGCAGGGCTCCCGGGAGTAGTGTGGCCGAGCCTCCTTCTCCCTCCCTCCCCGAGCCTCCACACAAGCACCATACCACACACCATATGTGCACTCACATCACAGTACACACACACGCACACACACAACACTGTGGCTCCCACTCACAGCCCTCCCCCCGGTACACACGCACACGAGATGGAAGCAGCCTGCTTGGCTCCGCCTCCCACCCCGAGTGCGGCACCTGCACACGCAGCACACGCACCCCAGCGCCAGAGCAGGGCCAGGCCTGCGGCTTCCTGGCCTCCGGGGAGGTCCCGCTAACTCCTCCAGGTCAGGGCCGCCAGGGGACCCATGAGGGACCTTCCAGCCTTGAGCTACTTCGGGGGGGACGGGGATGCAAGTGGAGTCGTAGCAAATGTGGGGACATATCGTCTGAAGCCCCCTTAGCTCAGCGGCGTGCCCCGAGGGCCTGCTCCGTGCCAGGCGCCTGTCGGGTGCGTGCTCACCGTGTGCCAGGTGCTGGGTGCGCAGGGCCGGCCTTTGAAGGGCTCAGGGGCCGGAATTCCTCTCTAGGTGTGGTGTTCCTAGGCTGGCTGGCATGCTGTCCCGGCCGGGGAGGGGGTCTGGTCCTGCTCCATCTCACGGGGGTCCCATGGCAACAGGTGGGGCCAGAGAAGCAGAAGGAGCCCTTTGTGTTTGCTTCGGTGCGGATCCTGGGGGCCTGGCTGGCCGAGGAGACCTCATCCCTGCGCAAGGAGGTCTGCCAGCTGCTGCCCTTCCTTGTGCGCTATGCCAAGACCCTCTACGAGGAGGCCGAGGAGGCGAATGACCTCTCCCAGCAGGTGGCCACCCTGGCCATCTCCCCCACCGCCCCAGGGCCCACCTGGCCAGGGGATGCTCTCCGGTGAGTTGGTAGTTAGAGTCTGTCTAGCCGGACTGTCCTAAAGAAAAGTGCAACAGGGGGACACCGCCTCACCCCCAGACTGTCCGTGCCAGGCTTCCCGACTGGGGCACGAGATTTCCTCTAGGATTATTTCTGGTTTCTTGGGGGGGGCTTGTTCGCGCAGGACTCCTGGTCAGCCGAGTCTCCCCTACCCACCTCCAAGTTGTCCATAGAGAGAGAACTCGTGCTTCCCGAGTGTTTACTACACACCAGGCATCCTGCTCTACCGTTGACAAAAAAAAAAAAATCCCATTTGGTCCACACAGCAGATCTATGGCTTAAGGCTCATCCGCGCCTTCAGGATGAGCAAACCGAGACTCAGGGTTAAAATAAGTGGGCCACGCGCACGCCACGTGGCGGATCCCAGGTTCAAGCCCAGGCCCATGAAGCACCACCGCACGTGCTGTCTCTGTGGGGCCCACGAGGCCGGGTCCTTCACCCCCGCTGTCATTTCTCGCAGGTGGGATGCCCCTCAAGAAAGGGAATCCTCGTGCCTTTGTCTCCACACACCTTACGCATGTGTTCCTTCCACACCCCCAGGCTCCTCCTGCCCGGCTGGTGCCACCTGACTGTCGAAGATGGGCCCCGGGAGATCCTGATCAAGGAGGGAGCCCCCTCACTTCTCTGCAAGTATTTCTTGCAGCAGTGGGAACTCACATCCCCGGGCCACGATACCTCAGTGCTGCCCGACAGCGTGGAGATCGGCCTGCAGACCTGCTGCCACATCTTCCTCAACCTTGTGGTCACCGCACCAGGGCTGATCAAGTGAGGCCGGGGAGGAGGTTGGGGGAAGCAAGGGGGGCTGCTCAGACTGTCTCACATCTGCATCTCGACGCTGCTTCCCTGCGCCCGTGCGTTCCCGTTAGTGTTAGAATGGACGGCTCTCAGAGCAGAGGCGCCTCGCACGAGGACTGGGCCTGGCCGGAGCCCCGTAGCTCCCGCCGTAACCCAGGCTCCGCTCCCAGATGGCACCAGGGCCCACCGCTAGCTCCTAACCCTGCTGCCTCGTCTCTTTGCCAAACCCTGCCTGGCGAAACTGGGAGCCCAGGACCCCAGGTTCCCCCAGGTCTCGGTGTAAGGAACAACCCTCAAACAGTCCCCCTTCCCTCCCTGTCTCCCCAGGCGAGATGCCTGCTTCACGTCTCTCATGAACACCTTGATGACGTCGCTGCCCGCACTAGTGCAGCAGAGTGGCAGGCTCCTGCTGGCTGCCAACGTGGCCACCCTGGGCCTGCTCATGGCCCGGCTCCTCAGCACCTCTCCAGGTAAGGCCTGGGGCCCCGGCCCTAAGGAGTAGGGGCCAAAGACCTGGCTGCACCTGTGGGCCTCCAGGCAGAAGTCCCTGTTTTCAGGGGATGTTTTTACAGAATTTTCCAAAGGAGAGGAAATCTGTGTCTCCGTCCCCCACCCTACCCCACCCTTCTTCCCCAAACGATGACATTCTCTTCCTTCTTGAAGACTTTTAAGGCAAGGTCTGGTGGGTGTAAGTATAGGCCTGCTCAGAGGCACAGGCATAGGCACCTGGAATCCCAGCAGCCCAAGGTGGAGCCGCCCCCACCCAGGCCTTGAGTCAGAAACCTTATTCCTCCCATTGAGGTTTTTCTCTGCTCAGCACCTCACCTCCCTGGTGACAGGCTTCAGCACTTTGCTGCTCCTCTGCACACACCTTCTCCACAAGCCTGCCTCACTCCGACTGTGTGTGGGGGGAGGGCCAGCCCCTGCCAGCCCCTGCCAGCCCTCCCTGTCTCCCACTTCGGCCGTGGGTGTCTGCTTGGGTCCCTCTGTCCCCGCCTGTTCCCTGTGCCCCATCTGTCAGGTTGGAGGAGCTGAGCAGATGCCTGGGAACAGGGCGTAACGAGACTGTCCCCTCAGCTCCCTCTCTGTTCCCCGCGCAGAGATCCCAGCAGAGTCTCCCGGCAGCGGGAAGGGAGCGAGGCCGTGGGCCAGGGTCAGCCCCGTGCTCCAGCCTGTGGCCCCTCTGCCCCTGAGTGGAGCCCCAGGGCTGCTCCCCCACAGATGCCACCAGTTGGCCTGACCCCCTTCCACACAGGGTCTGCGGGAGTGAGGTGGGCCCCTGCATGGGGGTGAGGGAAGCCCCATCACCACTCCCTGGACCCCCTCTGGCACCCTCTTCTGGCCTAAGAGTCAAATCAGTGCCCAGCCTGTGGCTCCCCAGCCCGTGGCTCTCTAGCCCGTGGCTCTCCAGGTCCGTGGCTCCCCAGGCCCATGGCTCTCCAGGTCCGTGGCTCCCCAGGCCCGTGGCTCCCCAGGCCCGTGGCTCCCCAGGTCCATGGCTCCCCAGCCTGCTCTCCAGCCCATGGATCCCCAGCCCTGTGGCTCCTCCAGGCCCATGGCTTCCCAGGCCTGTGGCTCCCCAGACCCATAGCTCTCCAGCCCGTGGGTCCCCAGGCCCGTGGGTCTCCAGCCCATGGCTCTCCAGCCCTTGGCTCTCCTGTCACAATCCTGTCACTACCCCAGCAGTGGGAAGGGCACCCAGAGGGGGAGTGTCCCAAGATTATTATATTTAATGCTCACAATGGATCACTAAGGTTAGCACTGTTGGCTCCGTTATAACAAGTAAGGAAACGGGAGCCAGGAAAGTGCGTTCCCCAGGGTCACTCAGTGAAGCGAGGTAGGGCTTGCACCCAGGCCAAGGGCCAGAGAGGAGAGTCATGGAGAGGGCAGAGGGGGTGGAGGAGAGGGCCTGGGAGAGGGAGGAGAGGGCCTGGGGAACCGCCCGCCCGCCTCATGGCCCCTTGCCCCCTTGCCTTCCAGCTCTTCAGGGCACGCCGGCCTCCCGAGGTTTCTTCGCGGCTGCCATCCTCTTCCTGTCACAGTCCCACGTGGCGCGGGCCACCCCCGGCTCGGAGCAGGCCGTGCTGGCACTGTCCCCCGACTACGAGGGCGTGTGGGCCGACCTGCAGGAGCTGTGGTTCCTGGGCATGCAGGCCTTCACAGGCTGCGTGCCGCTGCTGCCCTGGCTGGCGCCTGCCGCCCTACGCTCCCGCTGGCCCCAGGAGCTGCTCCAGCTGCTTGGCAGCGTCAGCCCCAACTCCGTCAAGCCCGAGATGGTCGCCGCCTATCAGGGCGTGCTGGTGGAGCTGGCCCGGGCCAACCGGCTGTGCCGAGAGGCCATGAGGCTACAGGCGGGTGAGGAGACGGCCAGCCACTATCGCATGGCCGCCCTGGAGCAGTGCCTGTCGGAGCCCTGAGCGGGTGTCCGCTGGGGACGGACCCGGGGGTGGGCGGCGAGGGAAGGTGGGAGGAGGCATCTGCCCTGAAGCCCCCAGACTGGACCCCCTCCCCAAGCTCCCCCCAACACCCCAGCTTTCTGGCTTTCTTTCCCGAGGGCGAGGGCGTGGGGCCCAGCCCTCAAGTGTAAGGAACTGCGTCCGCCCCCCGGGCCCCCACAGGGGCAGGGACTGGCTTGGAAATCCATGCAGCCGCCCCTGCCAGGCCGGGGCAGGTTGGAGCAGCCCCCCGGGAGGGGGCCCTGGGTGTCATGGTCCCCACAGCAGGCCCCCCGCAGGAGGGAGGCCCCAGGGTGGGACGGGGCTGGCAGGAGCTGGCTGCCTCGGCCCATGTGCCCTGCCGGCCAGGGTGTGGGCTCCCCCAGGCTGTGGTGTCCCCTCTGGCCTCCCAGGTCCACGTCCTTCAAATTGGCCCCTTGGGTGGAGAGCAGGCTCAGACCACTGACATGGCAGTTCTTCCCATCAAATTTGCTGACCCAGGGTCTGGGCTGCCCCATCCTCCCAGGGAATTCTGGGGCAGGCAGGCCTGGTGTGGGGGTGGGGACACCTCCTTCCACCTGAGCCTCCTTGAGGGGACCCAGGATTCCTTAGGGCCTGGTGTCTAAGCTTCTGTGTCGTGTTGCAGCAGAGTGACGATGGGGGCTGGGGAGTTATTTATTTTGCCTGTCCTTATCCCTGCTTGGACACCTGAGCTTCTGATCCTTGTCCCCCTCGTGCCATCTGGCTTGGCTGGAGCCAGGAACAGGAGGGACCCATCCCCAGAATCCGCATGTTTCCCTAGTGATTGCACCCCATCACCATCATGGTGCCTGGCTTCAGTTCCCACCCCTGCTTAGGCTTCCTCTCTGCAGAGAGACGCGACTGGCGGCTCCAGCAGGGACCACCTTCCTTAGGAACCCGGGGGACCCTTCCCCTCTGACCCCTTGCTTCCATTCCCCTTCCCTCCCCCAGTGCGTTCTGTGATCGCCACGTTCAAAGCTGTGCACATGCGGACACAATAAATGTTCATTGGTGACAAGGTGGCCCGCGTGTGGTCTGTCCTGCACCTTCTCTCTTCCTTCCCGCCTCCCGCAGCTCACAACCACCGTTTGCTGGACGCACACCCGGCCAAGCACCCTTCACAGGGGTCCTGGCCTTTAACCCGCCCAAGAATCCTGCGACACAGGCATTATCCCAATTTTGCAGGTGAAGACACTTCGGCACGGGGAGGCGGTTGGCTCGAGGTGATGATGTGCTAGTGAGTGCCGGAGCCAAGAGCCAACAGGCCGCTGAGCGCCCAGCCCGTAGCCTGGACCTCCCAGGGCAGGGTGGCAAACGTGCTGAGGCGGCCAGGCCCGGCGGGGCTTCGGGGCTTTTGTACAAGTGCTGACGGCGGAGGGCTGCCCAGTACTACTGCCACGTCCTCCAATTTTTAAACAAAGACAAGTCAGAAACTCTCAATTTTATGCAAAATCTGATTTTTGAATGTTGATCCATTTTTTTTAATGAAATCATCACTGCCCCCAACATCTCCAGGCCAAATGTGGCTTTTAGGCAACCAGCGGTTCACCTCTGTTGTTTTTCATGGTTTTTTTTTTTTTTTTTTTTTTTTTTGTAGATTTTATTTGACAGAGCACAGGCAGGGAGAGCAGCAGAGGGGGAAGGGGAAGCAGGCTCCCCACTGAGCAGGGAGCCAGGATGGGGGGCTTGCAGTGGGGCTCCATCCCAGGGCCCTGGCATCGTGGCCCAAGCTGAAGGCAGACACTTAGCCAACTGTTCAGATTTGTTCTATGCCAAGGGGGAAGGGGAAGGGTCCTGAGAGCTCCAGCAGGAGACTGGAGCCAAGCACCTGCTGCTTCCCCGGGCCTGAGCCGAAGCGGTCAGACTGGAGCCAGACCAGCCCCAGCCCCCACCTGGCGGACCTCCCTACCTAGGCCCTCCAGCCAACAAGCGCTCACTGAGCATTTCCCATGGGTGCCCTGGAGGAAATATGAAAGACGGGCCTTGCCATCAAGCAGCTTAAAATCTAGGGAGGGGACAGTCGAGGCACCAGCCCCTCCAGGTGTAATCAGCTGCTTCTATGGGAGTCTGAGCAAAGTATGGCCGGAGCATAGGAGCTCCTCTGCTCTTACGCTCAATAGTCTGAGAAAGCTCAGGAAGTTTTTGCCCTGAGACCTGGGGCTGAGGAGAGGCTTGCCAGGCAGACGAGCAGAGGAACCGCGGTGTAAAGGCACGCGGGCTTGGGAACTGCAAGTAGCTCGTTGCCACGTAGCACATGAAGAGGAGGCTGGGCCAGTGGCCACGGACCGGACCTTGCAAGCCCTGGCGTGCCGTGCTCACAAGCAGACCTGTGGGACCACGCTGAGATTTGTTTTCGCCAGACCGAACGTGATCCAGTTTGCATTTTTGAAAGATGACTGGCTGCGAGGGGGAACTGAGGCAGGGAGCTCAGAGAGGAAGTACTGAGTCTGAACTAAGCCCGTGGCAGGGAAAGTGGAGAAGATGCAGGAAGGAGTCAGTTATCAGGGCCTGGTGACTGGGAGTGAGGAGGGATCCAGAGCCCTCCTGGATACCCGATCTGGGCCACTAAGTGGATAATGGGGCCATTCACCGTCACCGGAACGCTGGGAAACAGGTTAATGCAAAATACAAGCTCATTTCGGGAAATGGCGAGTTCGTGCTGCTTGTGGGGTACCCAGGGGTCGCCTGCTTTCTGCAGCCCGGAGCTCGGGGAGTTGGGAGTTGCGGGTGCGGTGTCTGGAAAGTCCTGGGCCCCGGTCGGCCAGGGTGCGGCCACCTTACCAGGCCCGCTTGCTCCTGGGGCTTCTGCGGCCAGGGCCACAGGCGACCTGAGCTGCCGTCGTGACACCGCCAGGTGGCGCCTCAGCATCTCCTGTGCCACCTGGTCCCGCGGCCTGGCCCGGTTGTCACCAGGGCAAGCAGGCCATGGTCTTAACAACCAATCCAGACACGAACTCACTTTTTGAAGAGGGGGGTCGCGATGAGCCGGGGAGACGGTGCCCTGCTACCTGCGCACAAGCGCCGCTGTGTCCTGCGTCCCTGTTTGTGTGTGTCCCCCGCCAGGGCCTGCTGGCATGCAGGCTCCCCGACAGCCGGCTGCGCCCCCCCAGCTCCGGCATCCATCGTGCATCGGAGGGGCCTTCCCCACGCTGGCCGCGCACCCAGGCCGCCGGCCCCCCCCCCCGTCACCCCCACTCCCCCCCCCACCGTCATCCTCTTGTGAAGCAGCTCATGAGCCGGAAAGGACGATCAGAGCGGCGTGGGGGCCTACACTGTGTGTGCCCCGAAGACGCCGCGGGGAGCCTCCCGAGCCTTCCGGGCTGGAAGGTGACAAGCTCCAGGCCCCCGACCGCTTCGTGCAGCTGCAGGTGGGAAGGGTGACGCCAAGTGCGAGAGCCGTCAGGGAGCCGTCACCACGTCCCTAGTCGGCAAACCCCAGCGAGCTGCTGCGTCCCCTTCAGAGTCTACGACACGCAGATTCCAGGCCCCAGGCTCAGAGGCCCCGCTTCAGGAGGCCGGGTGATGTCCGGGAGGTGGCACCTTGGCAGGACAGGGGCGGCAGGGGATGCCGGCCCTGGAAACACACTTTGGGGACTACCGGGGGCTGGGGGGGCTTCAGGCGGCCGCCCCCGCGGGTGTGCACACCTCGCGAGGACGGACCAGACCACGGGTGACAGCCCGCCCACAGCCACCAGGGCCTTGAGGACGAATGACTCGCCCTCGTCAAGCGTAGATGGGAAGGAAGGGCCGAGGCTGCACCCCTGACAGTGAGTAGTGACGTGGCTGAGGAGTGGTCGCGGGGCGGGGGGACAAGGAAGCCACAGGGGTGTCTCAGGCCGCAAGGAAGAAGCCGGAGGAAGCCTTTGGAAGCCCCTGGACGGACAGCCTGTCCACTCCTTACGGCCTTCCTGCAGCCTGCCAGACACAGCCGGGGGCCCCAGGGCTGGGCATGGGCATCGCCAGCCTTGGGCCTCCCCCAAAGGGTGCCACGCACCCACCCTCACCCTCCCGTCCTGCAGCCTCGCCTCTGACGTTCCGCCGCTGAATCCGAGGGGCGGGGAGGGGGGTCTCATCACAGACTCACCCCCGCACACACAGACCCACGTGACATACACCAGACCTAGGGTCCGCCCTGTCCAAATGGCTCATCCACCCCCCCTAGCTGGTGGCTCCAGCCTCAGGAAACTTCTCAGTGATGCTGCTGCTTCTAGCCTCTTCCTGCCCCACGGCCCCCCAGGCTGGGATAACCCAGGCCTGAGCTCCGCACCTGCCAAATGTCTCTGGGATCCCCCCTCACGTCTCCTCCACTTACCTCCTGGGGCTAACCCCCTCTTCTGTCATCCACCGCCGCATCGTCACCTCTCCTTTGGCATCATCCGCTTCCCTGGGAAAGGGGCCTCGGAAATGTACAGGCCTCTGTGACCCCCCTACTTTGCTGTCCCACTGCTTGGAGTTGCAGGAACTGGGGTCAGACAGGAAGAGGGACGCGGGGCAGCACAGGCCGAGGGGGTCAGAACTCCGTTCCCGGTGCCCGAGTGGCAGGCAGTCCCGGGTAGGAGTTCCCAGCACCAACCCTCAGCCGGCCGCCCGACCTTGGGCAAACGGGTTCAGTCCTCTGTGCCTCGTCCTCCCCTCCAGAGACACGGCTGAAATGACCCAGTCCCACCAGGTACTTAGCACAGAGCACGGCACACCCTGTACTAAGTGCTTCTGCGAGGATTTCTTCTAGGCCTTGGTCTCAGCATCTTCTTCCTTTAAACAAAATTTTTTCCTTCTGCTTTTTTTCTTTTTAAGATTTTATTTATTTATTTATTCGTGAGAGACACGGGTGGGGGGGCGGAGGGGGCAGAGACACAGGCAGAGGGAGAAGCAGGCTCCATGCAGGGAGCCCGATGTGGGACTCGATCCTGGGTCTCCAGGATCATGCCCTGGACTGAAGGCGGCGCTAAACCACTGAGCCACCAGGGCTGCCCCTGCTTTTTATTTTTTCAAGTTGTTTTAAAGATTGTATTTATTGGGATCCTCAGGTGGCTCAGTGGTTCAGCGTCTGTCTGCCTTCGGCTCAGGGTGTGACCCCAGGGGCCCCGGATCGAGTCCCGCATTGGGCTCCCTGCATGGAGCCTGCATCTCCCTCTGCCTGTGTCTCTTCCTCTCTCTCTGTCTCTAATGAATAAATAAATAAAATCTTAAAGAAAAAGTGTGGAAAAAAAAGAAAAGAAAAAGTGTGGGATCCCTGGGTGGCTCAGCGGCTTAGTGCCTGCCGTTGGCTCAAAAAGTGTGATCTTGGAGTTCCGGGATCAAGTCCCGACTCGGGGTCCCTGCAGGGATCCTGCTTCTCCCTCTGCCTGTGTCTGCCTCTCTCTGTGTGTCTCTCATGAGTAAATAAATGCAATCTTAAAGAGAAAAAAAAAAGATTGTATTTATTTGAGAGAGAGAGAGCACACAAGAGTACACAGGCTGAGGGAGAGGCCGACTCCCTGCTTAGCAGGGAGCTCGAAGGACAGGACCTCAGTCCCAGGACCCTGGGACCATGACCAGAGCCCAAGGCAGATGCTTAACAAATGAACCACCCAGGCGCCCCCCTTCCTGCTTTTGAAATTCCTGCTCCTCTAGTATTCCTCTCATTTCCCTTTCTTTCATCCTTGCCCCTGCTTCTCGGGAGGAGAGGGCTGGGTGTGGGGAGAAGGAAAGGTGCAGGGCCTTTGGGGGCCTGGATTGTGCTTGAGCGCTGGCCAGCGCCCGCCACGGTGACACACGAGCACACAGCCTGCGCATGTCAGTGTGACGACTGCACTCCGTCCACGTGGGGCAGTTGCACACATAGTCACTCAACAGTGTCTTGGTGTGAGAGGCCTACACTCCCTGTCGCCCAGTCCCCAGCTGGCCCGCTGTCTCTCCGTGCAACCTGCTTCCTCGGAGCCTGGCTTGGCATTGGGACCTACCAGCCGGCAGGAGGCTGAGGACAGGGGCCCCTCTGGAGGCGGCTCAGGGAGCGGGGCTGGCGCTGCACACATGCAG